TCATTTCCAGTATACCCAGGAGCACAGGCCTGACAGAAACCAGTGAATCTGCTGCCTCCACACTGCAGGTGAGACTAAAAGATACTTTGAAGTGTATTCTCATGTTTTTGTTAGATTTTCACACAAAAAAATTGTACCACGAATTATAACTTTATATCTCAACCAAACAGTTAATTAACTTGTACATTGCACATTTTCTCTTTAAATCCCAGGATAGTGTCTCCTCTTTCTCCTCTTACAACATTCACTTACCTTGCCCAGTATTATTTCAGTTCCTGTCATGGGGTAATATAAACACTTTTTCTCTTAATCCATTTGCACTGCTCTTCACGCACCTTTTAATGCTTGTCCTAATTAGCACCGGTTTACCTTCCAGTTACGTTTAGTTATTTTCTATTGCTTTGTATGGTAGTTTCATTCAATTGCATGATGCAATCGGTCTTAGAAATAAATCAATAAAAACCTTGTATCCCAAAATATCCGACTGCCATCCATATTGGTTTAGTGATGAAATGGATTTACTAATAAGACATTGTCTTAGCGCGATTTGGATTTTAAACGATGAAAATTGACATTGAATTCAGTGATACAAATTACATATGCAGTACAGATTATGCCCATATGTTTTTGATAATAATTTCGCTTTTCGGATTGGAAAAATGTTTCTTAACGAAGTGTCGCTGTTCCCCAAAAAATATCAAAGGACTGCTGCTAAAGGGAAGCCATGACAGTTTCCGTGGCGGGCAGCCCTGTTGTTTCCCTGTAGGTGCGGTTACGTCTTTGCGGCAACTGTGCAGCTCGTATCATTTACATGGATCCCGATATGCGAGTGAATACTTTATTGTTAAAATAAGTGATAATTCTCCTGGTTGTCTGTGCATCTAAGCCTTTTTGGGTTTGGTAAAATTGTTCATTTCACAATGGCAAGGAATTATAAAATGACCGTTGAACAATGCATATCGACTTTCTTTGTATTTTTCGCGACGTGGAGCACCGTCTGGGCCGTGACTCGTTACTCTGTTCCGGAGGAGATGAAGGAAGGTGCTGTGGTAGCGAATTTAGCAGCGGATCTGGGACTCAATGTTGGAAGTCTGGTGGAACGTAAGGTAAAGCTTGACATTTTAAATAGCAAGAAATATCTGGATGTTAACAAAGAAACGGGAGAACTGTATGTATTAGAGAGGATTGACAGGGAAAATATATGCAGTATGAAATCAACGTCTTGTTTACTTAAAATGGATGTTGTTATACAAAACCCTGAACGCATATTTCACTTCGAAGTGGAAATACTAGATATCAATGATAATGCGCCACATTTTCGAAGAGAAAAAATGTATTTGGACATTTCGGAATTAACGGCGGCTGGAGAGAGATTTTCCCTCACGAATGCTGTCGATCCAGATGTGGGTTCAAATTCGATTAAAACATACCATTTAAGTGAAAGTGAGAACTTTAGTCTAGATATTCAAACAGGAAGTGATGGATCTAAATATGCAAACCTGCGTTTAAAAAAAGCTTTGGACCGGGAGGGACAAGCTATGCATAATCTGATACTCACTGCAGTAGACGGCGGAGTCCCCGTGCGATCCGGTACCACCAGCATCATTGTTCGCGTTCAGGATGTGAATGACAACGCCCCTCAGTTTGATCGCCAAATTTACTATGTTAATATTTCAGAAAATTCACCTATCGGAACTCCCGTTATGAAATTAAATGCTACTGACTTAGATGAAGGTTTAAACGCTGAAATACTGTATTATTTCACGCTTTACACATCTGAAAAAACGCAAGATTTGTTTTCTTTGGATTCCAATACAGGAGAAATAAAAGTAAAAGGTATTATTGATTTTGAGGAAATAAAAACACTTGAGATGCACATCCAGGCTAATGACAAAGGTTATAATCAGCTTTCAGGGCAGTGTACAGTAATGGTGTTTGTTACTGATGTTAATGATAACCATCCTGTTATCGCTATTACGTCTCTAAAAACTACAGTAAAGGAGAATGTTCCTGTAGGTACAATAATAGCGCTCATAAGCATTAGTGACAGAGACTCGGGAGAAAACGGCATAGTCAGCATTAGGATAAACGAGCAGCTGCCGTTTGCGTTAAATAAATCGTCAGAAAACGATTTCACACTAGTTGTTTCAGAATTTTTAGATCGTGAGAAAGTTCCTGAATATGACATCACGTTAATTGTCACAGACAGAGGCACGCCTCCTTTGTCTGATAATGAAACAATTACTTTAGAGATCCTGGATATAAATGACAATGCGCCACAATTTCCAAAATCATTCTATACTATTCCTGTGATGGACAACAATGGACCAGGATCTTTG